CTTTGGAATCCGAATCTCTGTGTGTACATATCCCAAGTGTGCAGGCCACCCATATGCTTTGTAATTCAGTTCATTTTCAGAAGCTGTAGTGAGAGCATCTTGTACAATTTTCAATTCTAATTTCATTATTTTTTGCCAGTTTTGTATTATTTTGTTAAACGAAACGTTTAAATTTGTATTTAAGTCCTTTAAGTAAGAGGACAGCTGTTAGAGCTATGAATGAAGTTATGAAGTGAAAGATCTTATCGTTTAATAATAAATCAGTATACGTGTGGCTGATCTTGTTATTACGTTTGGGGTGCCTAAATCGACTGTACGATTTTGAAAAATAAAGAAGCTATCAAAGCATCTGATGTGACAAAAGGAGTTACAACGCTGACGGAACTTTTAGTTTGGATTAATGAAAAAAGCTGGCTGGTGATGTAATTTCTGAGCCAATAATTTATGAGAAGGCCAATGCCCTCCACTGTGATTTAGGAAAAAGCATGCCTGATACTAGGAGGCGTTTAAAGCCAGTAGGGGGTAGTCAGAGACCTTTAAGAAGAGAACAGGGGCTAATGCAAAGAAGACATGCCATGAAGTCACTTGCATATTTTTTTTAAGTTTCTGTTTTGGATTCACTCCCTTTTTTTTTTTTTGTTGCGAGAGTTAAATTTTCCTTAGTTTGACGATGGGACAATTTGTATTAAAATTTTATTGGTTGATTGATATTATAATTTTAAAATTTCATTGGTTGGGTAATTCTAATATTGTAATTTTTGCACTATAACTGAACATTGATGTCATTGTATTTTATTCATTTTCTGGATAATCTTTTCGGTGGAACCGAAATAAAGTTGTAAAAGTGTATTCTGTGAAACTGTAAGTTGGGTTTTTATTTATTTACAATTTTTTCTCTTCATTTTTTTTTAGTTTTCTTGCCAGTGTGTAACTGCAGCAGCACACATGATTTTTTTACTTGAGGCGTCAGGGCTAGTTTTAGGGTTCAGGTTAGGTTTAGGGACAGATTTAAGGTTCAGGCAGTTTAGATTTAGGGATAAATTTAGGGTTCAGGTTATGTTTAGGGATAGATTTTTAGGTTAGGTTTATTATTGTGAATTATTTTTTGCGAGTACTGGCTGCATTACGCGAGGAAAATGAGCGACCGCAGGTCGTCACCGCTTCTTGTCAAATATCTAGACGGATACAATAAAGTAGCTACGTTCCCCACAAAATTTATGTACCGGCTGACATTTTTCCATTTTATTCCTAATATTAGCAGACGTGAGTTATTTTATTTTTACACGGCCGCCATCTTGGTTGCCGCGACCCATGAACCTGTAAAAGTTCATGGGTCGCTGTAACCAAGATGGCTGCTGATTGATACGTCATGGCATGTCTTCTTTGCATTTACCGGACATGGATTCACTGAGTTTGTGGGACATATGAATTCTATACAAGTCTATGATAGATGCACACACTCACCAAAGGCCACAGGGAATGGATAATAAATAATCAGAGTATAGATAATATTTAAATTTAATAAATAATATAAAAATTAAGTAGTATTAATAGGCTAATAATATTCTAATATTAATATACAATTTAAATCATCATAATCATAAGTTATAAGCCATACAAAAATTGAGACAAATCAAAGTAAAGTAATTACAATTAATTTGAATGAGACTATTAACTATATTACAATCAAACTCAAATCCAAATCAATGAATCATTTGTTGTATAAAGTGTATACACGTCCGGCGCGCCAGACAAATAGTGCGCGTGATATACGTCCAGCGGGCATGTCACGCGATCGCCGGATGACTAGTAGACGTTATTATTCCGAACGAAGTGGCTATCTGGAAGATCTTGAATGGTCTTGTGGTAGAGTGGTTGCTTAACGATATTACATTTGTGGATCAATGCCCACTAAACTAAGAATATTTTTTTTTCTTTGCATTTTATTTAAAAATATTTTATATTATATTTATATTATCATGTTCATCAGCAACAGTAGTTTCATGAGAAGTTTTTAAATATTTTGTAGCAATTTAAAATGAAATCTTTCACTTTTAATAACTATTATTATTATTGGTTGCCGACTCCAAACTGACATACTGGGCCCCTAATTTATTTTATGGATTACTGGTTCACAAACTAATAAAAAAACTAAACAAAAATGTTTACAAGCCACTTTCACTTAATTTTTGTTCTATTATTTGTTTCAATTCAAGATACTCAGTACTATTACTTGGTAGAGAAATAGATTTTAAAATTAACAATTGACAATAGTAATTAGTAATAGTTTTGCATCATTCCCGGTCACTCACACTGACACTGCCTTTGTTGTGTATTGTATGGTATGGTAACAGTATGGAGTATGAGTATGGTTCGAACAATGGTATACCTCGAATAATTTTCATGTTGAATGATATTGATTGAATAATTGTCATTGTAAAGAAATGTAAAAATTAAAATGTATGTAACCGACAGGATATTGTATGCACCATCCTGCCCTACCCAAAATAATGTCCCTGTGGGAAGGCACTTTTACTCCTGGTTAAGAACCAGTGTTACTGAGTGTTTTAGTGAAATGTTTCTAGTAACCGAAACCTCAACTGCATTTAATAAAACAATAAATAAGTACAAGTCTGCTTTTAGCTTGTACTAATGAAAACCTACCAGATAATTGTAAAAGCACTGCAGGATCCAATAACAGGTTACTGAAAGCAAATTTTACGCAGGCCTCTAATGATAAAATCCATTAATCATTAAGTTCGCGTAAATTATGTGGACAACAGACAATCGTGTGCTGAATTCGCAAATTTGCATACAGCTTTCGAGCATGGCCAGATTTAGTAAAATGGGTGAGGTCTGATTTGGGACTATTGTTCATCATTGTTTTTGTTTTACATAATTTATTACTAGTAGCTTCAGTGATGTACTCTAGACAATTTAAATAAAAACTTTTCTTTATGGTATCTTGTCAATCTCACACTCGCCCCCTCCTCTCCCTCGACCTCACGATATTATGGTAATGACTCCCGCCCTTTTTAAGCTTTTACCTCCAATACTTGCCTTCTGCGCTCGACACAATTTATAAACTTTATTCATATTAATCAATTTTACAAATATGGAAGAAAAAAAATCAGCAACAAAGAAAAATATCAACTAAATCATTTGCTCTTTTCTTCATTAAAAAATAATGTAAAATAATGTGTAGTATCATTAGTAAGGGGGGGGAGGGGGGGGAATCCATACATGACGTCACACGTCTAGGGGGAGGGGGTCATATTTTGTGACGAGGGGGGAGGGGGGCTTGAGCTATGTGGCTTCACATGAAAAGCGGAATATAGTAAAGATTTGAACTAAATAGCCCCAAATCACAGACATTTAGCATTATTCTTTTATACAACAATTATAATTATTTTATTTTTAAAATATGATCACTGAAATAATCAGTACACGTATGCGAGGTCCGAAAATTGGCCTCTGATCAAGTTACGGGCCGCCACAGACGAGAAGATTCGAGGTGTAGTGACTTTGGCAGTCGAGAGAATTTGTCAAAATGTGGAGACGGGAGTCATAGAATTAGGACTACCACGTGAAGTGGGGTGGGACGAAAAAAATGGTTGACCCCGGGGACGGGGTAGGGGTGGTGATCTTAGTAAATGCTTGAGGGCAGGGATTCTTAATCTATTTGCAGCGCTGCAGGCCCACTCCGTTTCAAACACCCCCCCCCCACACACACACACACTGTATAAAATAAATCGTAATAATACTTAAGTTTGAATATGAAAATAATTAAATAATTTAGTTATCATATGTTTTTTTCTTTAATTAACTTTTTATAAACAAGGAAAAAATGCCAACACAAGTAATGCGCAAACTAAATTCACCAGAAAAAACATTTACTGCTGCTAATCAAAATGCATTTTTTAAAGGCAGCAACAACTAGCAATGGCAGCAAATAAAATTGTCTGGTCTTCCGCACCCCAGGGCTGGGAAGGCATGGGCGTTATCTCAGTTTGTTTCAAGGCTGCCCTGGCACGCGCTTTGAGCATTTAGGATAGCCGCATCGTTTCCCAAACCGTTGCACGTAGTCAGTAGGCCTACTTGGTTGCGGCAACGTAGTCTACCAGAAATCTGAAATAAAACCTGCAAATTCAGGGGGGGGGGGATATGTCCCGACCTGCCCTACCCAAAATAATGTCCCCGTGGGAAGATACTTTTATTCCCGGTTAAGAACCACTGTTTTAGAGCCGCATCGTTTCCCAAACCGTTGCACGTAGTCAGTAGGCCTACTTGGTTGCGGCAACGTTGTCTACCAGAAATCTGAAATAAAACCTGCAAATTCAGGGGGGGGGGGGATATGTCCCGACCTGCCCTACCCAAAATAATGTCCCCGTGGGAAGATACTTTTATTCCCGGTTAAGAACCACTGTTTTAGTGAAATGTTTCTGACACATGTGCAATACACAGGCTTATCCTGACTTATGGCCCATTGACGCCACATGGGATGAATGTCGTGTCTCTTTTCACAGCTTAAACCTAGCTTCGCCCCTCCACGTCCCGACCTATCGCAGTGGACTTACTTCTCCTCTTTTATTTCGCTCTTCCCTATTTAATCTCTCAATCACTTACTTTCTGTTACATTTCTTTTACTGCCCACAAATACTACTTCTAAGCTAAGTTCTGTTGTTGTTTTTTCCAATACCGTTTTTTTCTGTTGTTTGTTCGCTGAAGAAGGCTTTCTGCCGACATGTTTGTTTGTTTTTTGTTGTTGTTGTTGTTTTTTTTTTTTTTTTTTTTTTTTTTTTTTTTTTTTTTTTTTTTCCCTTTTTTTTTTTTATCAAAATATAAAATACTTATTATAACATAAATTAAAAAAAAAAAAAAAAAAAACGATCCGAATCACACCATTCATTATATCATAAAACAAAATGTTCGTTACAGAAATAACTATTTATAGTCTAGAGCTGTCATGTTGGCATTGCCAGTTTGTTCAACTTCCGGCTCCCGTCATTGTATATTCTATGTACTCCTCTAATTAATGGAAAGGAAATAACTGGCTGATCAGCTGCTAAAGCAAAAGCAGCTTGGACTTTGAGAAGTAGGAATTTATTAAATTGATCTTAAATTTTCAACGCAATTCGTCATATTGTTTAAACCTATTTTGATTAGAATTTTATAATAGTTGATTCCAATTTTACCCCAGTTTATTTTTTGCGTAGCCGATTGGCGAGTAGCACAATACATTGTCATTGTCGTTTTGACTACTGTACTGTACTGTACGTGAGTGTGAGTGACAGTGCACACCTAAGCCTAAAATAAAAGTAAATAAGTAACAAAAATATATGGATATCATTGAATATATTAAATAAAGATAGCATAGTTAGTGTGATTAGTGATAGTATTTAAGTATTTACAAATTATTTCAGCATGCACAGTAGATCAGTCTATCAAGTTAGTAGGCCAACGCCTACTAATTTAGTAATATTATATAGTAGTAATATTTATTTTAAATCAGTGTTAAATCAGTCAGTGTAACCTGTGTAGTCTAGCAGTTAGTAGTCTTCATAATTTTTTGTTACAGTTACAGTAATGAGATTAAAACTGAAATAAATAAGAAAAAATAACAAAACAAAAAATTTTTAAAAATTGCGAGGTGGACCAGGTTTTAGAGGCATAGGCATAGGCCTAAAATTACTAAAAATAATATGAGCCAGTATCATGTATGCCAGTCAGTATGAAAATAGGCCTTGTTATTAGTTATCTTTACTATAGTTTATCTAGTCAGACTCTAAGTCTAGTGTCAAGGCCCCACTTATTTAAGTTATTAAGACAATTAAGTATTAAGAAATAGTATAATTAGTATATTAGTAAATAGCCATAGTCATAGGCCATAGGCCTATATTATAGACTTTATACTGTATTATAAAATAGACCTACTACTACTACTATATAATTTATAATATATTATAAATTATATACTTTATAATTTATAGTTGTCGGGAAGTAGTGGCCAATACTGTCACAGAATGGTTGTTGCGGAGGAGGGCTAAGGTCCTGACATATAACAAACTATACTAATTTAGTTGTAGTTAGTAGTTAGTACACGTCTGCTCCTCTCTGTGATTATATTTTGGGTGTCTTAGGCGTTGGGGCAGACAAAGCACAACTTAAATTTAATGAAAACTCACAACTCTAACTCCAGGTGTATGGATGATATATACCGGTATGTATTAATTTCTTGATGTTACAACAATTAAAGCTAAGTCTATCGAAGAAAATGTAACCTTTTCAAAAGCATCTAATATCCTCTCTCCCTTACCGGAGGTGCCCCAACCGCTCATTCATATTCATGATCTATCAAACTTGGTGCGACCCATAGGGAAGTCCCGAACAAAACAAAACCATTACGCACTGATTACAACTGAGCTCTTTCCTATATCCCCACCCGAGTCATTTGTGACATATATAAAAAGGCTAGTATTACCACTAGTATAATTAACAAATTATTAGTATTTTATAGGGCAGGGCATGGCTATAAACTACACTATTGACTATTGAAGTAGGGTGAATATTAATTAAGACAAAGTCAAATTATTAGTATTATAGGGCATACACACACATTACCTACAAATATTGAAGTAGGGAGAAGACGGAGAGTAAGAGAAGACGAAGATTAAGACTAAGTCAAAAACAAACTGTTAAACACTGTTGTCAGTAGGGAGAAATTAATCTCCTATTTACATGTATGGCTCGTTCCAAAACAGTACATAACTAAAGACGATACCAAATGATGAAAAAAAATTAACAAAAAATACAAGAATACGATACTGGAAACAGGGCTAATTACAATTAATAAGTTTTATTAAGTTAATAATAAGTACAAAAGTAAAAAAGAAATATAATTAAAAACTATTAACTTACAGTAAATTGTGTGGCTGAAGCCAGTTCAATGTCGAATAAAACACAATGTGCTAAAAAAGTTACAAATAATGAAAAGAAGTCTACTGTAAACAAAGCACTCACACGTTCCAAAATAACTCTCTCTTGCTGTCTGCGCCTCTCTCTCTCGTATGCGTGCCACTAGCCTGTATTTATAGTCTATTCCATAGAAGAATCGAGGTCAGAATACGCATCGTAATAGTGACTTAAATGTTCTACAGTTTTCTTCCGTATTCGAGTAAAGAAACGGACGATAGATTGGTTTGTGGTAAACGAGACCAAAGGGAGTAAGACACACCAAATAATAACGCAGGCAAATTGGGGTCAGCTTAAGGTTGTTCGCCAGGTAAAGATTAAATGAGAGTAAAAATAAAAAACATTTCTGATCTGCTAAAATTATTTTTTAAAAGTAAATAAATCAGCTATTCTTAGCCTACGCACTGGATGACTAGTATCACTAGCTGTTCTTATGTTTTAGTCTAATCCGTTAATAGTCTTGTCTAACTAGGTTATTTAATAAAATTTAATAGTTAATTATTTTCATAGCTTTAGCTGCATAGCCTCAGCTAATAATAAATGTCTACTTTTCCAACCATACTCTGTTAATACTAAATCAATCTAATAAGTCACTCAATCACTACTACTAGTAGTAGTACCAGTCACTGAATTCTAATGTTTAAAAATATCAGTAGGCCCTACTATAATACTATTAGTATTCTGCTTTTCAAATTTACCACCCATAACATGACACTAGCTTTAAAATTCACAAAGTCATAGTTAGCCTTTAAATTAGAAGTATCATAAATGTATAAGCAGTGATTAAGTAGGCTTAACATTAAAGACAAAAGGAGTAAAAGATGTCAAAGAAGTTGTCATTTTGTTCATTATATAGGACTAGCTCCTTTTTAATTTATACATAATCTGTATAATAATCTGTATTATACATTTTTATGCTTTGAATGATTTTATACATTATATTATATTTCTAATGCTTTTTGGAAGTGAATTTTTAAAAACAATAGGGAGCTACAACCAACTTGGATTCTAAATTTTGTTTCATATTATCAAATTATAGAGCTTTTTCAACTATTGTTAAATATGCATTGTTTGTAAAACTTTATGTTATCATCTGTGAAAGGCTATGCACAGATGTTACCATGCCTATAAATACTATAATAAATGTGTGAGTAACAGTTGTGATATTCTGTCTTCAACTCTCTAATATTGATTATAATCACTGAATAGAAAGATAAGGTATAATACTGCAAGAAAAATTATTAAATATCATTTATCTTATAACATATAATTTAGAGTGTAAACTTCAAATTTTGATACCCTGTAATAATCACATCTGACACCATCAAAAGCCAATAATTTTAACCATTATATGTCATAATAAGATAAAATGTTTTTTGCATTTCCACCAAAGATTTATTAGATACTAGAAATAACTCGCTAAACAATGGTGTCAGAAATGAGTGAACTTCCCATCTACTAAAGTCACTTGACAAAACATGTATTCAAGTCATGCACTTTATTATAAAAATCCTAATGAGTGCTAACTTGTGGAAAGTTTTATTTTTCTCGTTTATATTCATACCTTGAAAATTATTATTTGTAATTTGATTTATGAAAAGTGAGTGTATTTTTTCAGGCAAAGAATGAGCTGGAGAGAACAAGATAATTTCATTGTTGAATCAGCTGAAAATCCTGAACCAGAGGAGGACTCCGATTTGCCAGTTAGACTGTGGCAAAATGTTGAAGAGATGGAACTTCGGACAGAGGAAGAGGGACCGGAAGATGACTTAGGAATGACACATCAGGTTTCTATAGCTAGCAGCCATTCTGATTTTATTTCACACAACAGCCCAGCAACTGCTGGGACTAATGAGTTAAATCATGATACATACGTAGAAAATGACAGCATTAGAGAAGAGGCACATGAACCCTCTGTTTCTGAAGATGGGGGACCAAATGTGAATAGAGATAACGAGTCTCTTAATGTGGTCAAGGAAGGAGCTGCAGAAGATAGCTTTGAACAGGATGAAGAGACAGCAGCACCAGAATGTGAGAACAATGTGAAGCATGAAACATGTAGTGAGAGTGATGGGCAGCTCATACATAACAACATAATATCATCCAATTTAGAATTAAATGACAGTTATCTCTACCAATCATTTGGTGAAAAAAAATTGACTGATAATATAGAACTTGATAACCATGCTAATGAAGAAAACATCCAACTGAGAGAGCAATCATGCTCTGATAATTTGACTTTATCTCAGAGTTCTGAAAACTATTTGGATTCATTTAAAGGTAATATTGAAATATTAAATAATCTAGAAGATGCTCCAGAGGCTGAAATAGCTGGCATCACAAATATAATGGTGATGGGACCACTTGAGGAAGAAGATAATATGAATATACACATTGCTCTTCTAAGTTCCGTTAACTCGCATTGTTCTCAGAATACATTATCTGTGTCTGTTGTCACTGATTTAAACCATTTGCAAGCAGGCAGTGTTCCAGATAAACCTTTTAACATTCCTCTAGATGATAGAACTGATCAGGAGCAGATTATTAGTGATGGACTGGATCTGCAGATACCAGAGTGTGACAGAGATACAGCTTGTCAGCAAATTTTGCAATCAGGCAATGATAGCTCAGCTTTTAAACAAGCTACTGAAGTCAGTGTTTTCTGTCAAGAGGAAACATGTGATAAAAACTATGACAGCACACAAATTGTAACCAGTTCTGAAAGCAAGACAAATTTATTAAAATCTGAAAATATCATGTTATCACCAGCACAAGAGCTTCCTGAAAAAATTTCAACACCTGCATCTTCAGAAGTCTTGAACATAAATTCCTCTGTTGCACAAACTGGTTCAGTTTCAGCTTTCCTTTCAACATCTAATGAAGACTGTTCTAATCCGAACCATTCTTTGGATAGCTCGTATCATCTGCCTGTTCTTATATCTAGTCATCAGGATATATCTGCAGAATCTGGGCAACCAGCTCTAGAATACCGAAGCAAGAATCAGGTAATTATTGCTCAGCCAATTTCACCGCCCATCAGTATTTCAACTCACATGAATGAAAATCCCTCCACAACAATCACTGATAATAAACGGTGCTTAGCTGCAGATGATACAATATCACTGAGTTTATCTAAAACTCAATACAAAAGTTCCAGCTTGGAAAATTTTGTGTTGCCCTCAAGTAGCCATTCATCTACATCCAATTCTTCTAACCATTCATCTCCAGCAAGGGCAGCATCATGTCAGTCTCTAAATATGGATACCAGTCATTTTCACAGAGAGCTGGCTCTCTTGGAGAGTGATGATGAGGATGAACTTCTCCATGAGTTGGATGCAGAACTTCTTGCTCGCCCCAAAATTAGATCTTCACAATCTTCTTTAGCCCAGAGGCTAATGTCAGGAGAAATAAGGCCATCTCTAAATGGTTTGCAAGCCTTTGATATACGCCAGTTGCAGGCTCTCAACAGGCAATTGCTGGAGCAACTCAAGATAAGAGATGAAGAAATAAACAGGTACTCAATAGATTTTTTAATGTCATTAATATCCTTTGTTGTTGCTTATAATTAAAAATAATATGTTTTTAAAAAAGAAATGGTCAATAAATAATGTTCATCAGTGGTTAAAGTTGAATATTAAATTTCCAGCTTTCTTTTATGTCAGTGAAATAATTTTCTCCCTCATGTTTCCACTATTTTTTACATTATATAAAAAACATCCTTTCTTTTTAAATGTAATTTTTAAGTTCCATTATATATGTGCTTATTTTATTTAACTAGACTAAAAAGTGACAGGGAAATGCAAAGAATGGAAATAGCACAACTTCACATGAAGTTTAATGAATCAGAAAATACAATTATTGTAAGTCCTAGTCCTTGTGCTGATGATCTTTATTTACCACAAATTAAAGAGGTGAGTAAATTGAACATATTTAAACTATTTATAAATCCTTACATTACTTGTTAAAAGGATAAAATCTTCATTACGCCCCTCTCCTATTTAAAAAAGGAAGAGAGGAAAACAAATATGATAACAGTTAAAGCGATTTAAACATTATCCTCACATTTTTGTGCTGCTGTCTCTTCATTCTTATATCATCTTTACCACATCATGCTACTGGTTCACTAGCTTGCCATGCTCTAAACTTATCAGAGAACTTGTGCAATTTTATCAACACACAAACTCTATAGTTTCAAGTGATTTAGGATATATTCTTTATAAATAGAAATAATTAGAATAATTTAATCGAATAAATGTTAGATGTCATTAATATCTCAATTATTTTAAACACAAAATAAGGCTAAGTCTAATCAGAGAAACACACATGAATCTTCACTGCTGTATCTATGTTTAAAAGATAAACTTCATTTCATTTTTAAAAATAATAATATGCTGTAGTTAATTTTTTTTTCATTAACTACAGCTAGAAAACACTATAACTCAACAAGAAAATGAACTGAAGGCCTTGAGAGAAAAATTGGCCAATCATGACGTGGCTGCAAAACGAGCAGTCACAACTTTGCAAAATGAACTAAAAGCTAGAGTTGATCAGGTATTTTGAAAAATGTGCCTGGATAAGTTTATAAAATGCACCTCAAGTACTGACATGACTATGGCTGACTGTACTGTAGTTATTTCTTATAAAAATTAGATGAGGTATCAATAATTTGTCTTTAATTTAAGATCTAATTTAAAAAAAATATTTTTAATATTTAAAAAAACTGTCATGAGGCATTGGCTATACAGATAATTAAACTAGAAGTCACAGCATTTCCTATTATGAACCTGTTTGTTAATTTGTATATATAAAATAAATTGGTAGAATTGTTTCTGCCTTGTCACTTTAGATTGTTTTCTTTACACCACAGGTGACAAAAATGTATGAAGAGTGTCTTAAGGAAAAGCACATGACAGTTGTGAAGTTTGCTGAATCTGAAAACAAATACATGGAAGCAAAGCGTATCATAGATCGGGGTGAAGCAAAGATAAAAGAAATGTTGAAAGACAAAGAGAGTATGATGGCTGCAGTGAAGACAGCTAAGTCTGATAAACAAAGGCTAGTTGTGAGTTTTGAAACTAAGGTAGGTGTTTTATCCAGCTTTTCTTTCCGTCAATATTAGTTTAATAAATGGTTATTTTCCCTCAGTTAAAATGGTTTGTTATTAAAATACACTTGTAAGGCAAAGCAGACTTTGTAACAAAAGTGGGTATTATTCACTTTAGTGGTATTGACCACAAGTTTGAGGCTTTTATTACACTTAATAAATTTTATTTTATGCAAATATTTTATGTTTATATAAATTTGGCAGTGCACAGAAATCAGCAATCTCAATAAAGAATTTGAGAAGATGAAAGAGGCAGTTAGCTCCAGTGAATATAGAATCAAATGGTTCCAGAATAAACTTAAAGATGAGTTGGAGCAGCATAAGGTTAGTTTAATTTTTTTTTTTTTTCATTTATCAGTCAGATAGCTTGTTTTAAAGCAGGGATGGGTTCTTGGGCTGCTTTGATCCTGAGTCAACTCTTCGTGGGCCGAATGTCATTAAACCAAATAAAGAAAATAACTAACAAATAAACAATTGATTGTGAGATAATAAAACATCTACTCTTGCCGCCACACATAAATAAACTGTACTTACTTAAATAAAAATATGCTTTTTAAAATACATACAGCGCATTTTTTTACAAAAAGGTGACCCCCATTACCACTTTCATAACAGAAGGTGGGGGAGCTCAGCCCCCTTTCCCAGAAATTTCTTTGATAATGTTAAAATGATGTATTTTGGCTCATGCCTGAATTTAGTTTTGCATCATTCAGCACTTGACCATAGAACTACAGAAGAAATCCTAGAGGAACTTTTTGTTTCCTTAACCCAGCTGTGTTTATATTATATAAAAATCCTTTAATTTTTGTAGTTATTAAATAGTAACTTTAAAAAAAAATATTTTAAGTTCACTGAAATGGCGCATACAGTCACAAAATGTGCTATATATATATATATATATGAAGAGCTGATTTTCAAAATGCTGTATGTCCATTAATGGATTATTCAACTTTTTACAAAAAATTACATTCTGCGCTTAGAGAATTAAATCATTTTTAAACAAGAATAAAATAGGAGTATGTTGTGTTTTGTAAGTAATAATAATAATTAGTGGTCTTTTATAGCACGGTACCCCAGCCAAGGGCTGGGCTCACCGCGCGGTACGTAAAAATATTATCATAATCATGACATTAAAATCAAATATAATTTTGAAATAAAAAACAGCATGTACCCCAGGACTTTTACAAGGCAAACCAAGGACGGCAGCCAACAAGATCATTTATCGGTCAGAGGAGGGAATCAGTCAGGGTAGTATAGTTTAAAGAGATGTGTTTTGAGTGCAGTTTTGAAGGCCTGGGTGGTTGGTATATTGCCGATGTGTAGTGGCAAAGAATTTCATTGTTTGGGGGCCCCAGAAAGAGAAAGATCATTCACCATATGTTTTAGTGTGTGTCTTGGGAATGGACAGAATACGCGTGTCTGTGGAGGAGCAAAGCTGTCGAAGGGGTGAATAGACAGAAAGAAGTTCGGTTAGATAGGAAGGGCAGGAATCAGAGAAAAAGTTGTGACAGAGAACAGACAACTTGTAGTCAATGCATGCCTGTATAGGTAGCCAATGAAGGGAGTGGAGTAGTGGTGTGACGTGATCATGTTTTTTTGCCTTTAGAACTAGCCTAGCAGCAGAGTTTTGGACTTTCTGCAGTTTTTCTATGCAGTGTTTTGGTGAACCTCACAGAAGAGATTTACAATAATCAAAACGAGAGATAACAAGAGCACAGACTAGAGTTTTTGTAGCGCTAACTGTGAGGTATTGGCGGATGGAAATGATCTGACGGATAGCGGTGTATGCCGAACGAAAAATGTGAGAGATATTTTTATCGAGAGACATGTTGTTAGAAATAATATAACCAAGATTCCTAGTAGAGGGTGTAAACAGTATGTCGGAGTTACCTACGTGAAATGAGGTGGGAAGAGTTGATGTAGAGATGATGGATTTATTGTGAATGAGGAGTGCTTTTGTTTTGTCATCATTAAGCTTCAACTTGCTGAGTGTCATCCATGACTTGACATCATCAATGCACCCCGCAAAGTCTGTACAGCGGAATCAACAAGAGATGGATGGGTATGCATGTATAGCTGCGTATCATCTGCAAATGACTGGTTCTCAACAGCATGCCTCCCAAGCAAGAGTAGCAGTGGCCTGGTATACATTATGAATAGATCCGGGCCCAAAACGGACCCCTATGGCACTCCGTACACCAAATGAGCACTGCCTGAGAGACAGCCATCGACAGGGACCACCTGAGTTCTATCAGAGACCTAAACCAAGCCAAAACTGAACCAGAAATTCCAAAGTAATTTTCAAGGGTTTTGAAAAGGATTACATGGTCAACAGTGTCAAAGGCGCACTGAGGTCTAAGAGGATCAGGATGGAGATATCACCACTGTCCAATGCGAGCAAGAGGTCATTGGTCACTCTCAAGAGAGCCATCTCTGTGCTGTGGAAATGTCTATCAGCCGACTGATTAGAACTGAGAAGAGAGTGGTCAATTAAATAAGCAAAAAGTTGTTTTAGAACTAGTTTTTCAATAACTTAAGATAAAAAATGATAAGTTAGATACAGGTCTATAATTTTTAAAATTATTTTCATCCAGACCAAGCTTCTTAAGCAATGGTTTGATGACAGCTGATTTACAAAGAGGAGGAACAGTGCCAGAAGACAAGCTTTCATTTATTATGTGGGTTATCGTTGGGAGAAAATGATCTAATGACTCAACCAACAGGGGGTTGGGTATGGGATCCAAATAACATGACGTAGGTTTAGATTTTAAAATTATACTTTTGACCTCAAGTTCTGAAACAGGTTTAAAAATATCGAAATGTGAAGTAAGACAATGAAAAGGAGGCAATCAAGGGGTGGTGCATCAAAACGATCAAGCTCAGCGCGAATGCCAGCAACTTTGCTTATAAAGAAATCACAGAAAATATCTGGTTGCTGGGACAAAGAAAATACTGTTGTTTGCTGGTTTTACCCATAGTTATCGTTTGGCTAAAATACGAAGTCTTAGCAGGACAAACAATCTGAGTGACACACTTCTTGGCAGCGGAAAAGATTACCTTAAAAACCACAAGACCTGACCTCAACCACTTTTTTTCCGCACTACGCCGCTCTTTCTTGGCACTGCGTAGTTCTTCCCTTATGGTCACATACCAGGGAGCTGACCGCGTTAACCTAAAATTGCTGCGGGTGACGGGGGCGTGCCGGTCAAGCACAGCCCGCAAAGCATGGTCTAGCGTTTCCAATGGGCGGGGGACACTTCTAAACTCAGGTCATGCTTAAAGGCATCCCTGTTTATAGTTCGCAGACTGCGGACCTCCCTAAACTGAGGGAGAGGGTTGAGGGGCCCTTTCGTTAAGCTCGCAAATAACACAGAAGTGGTCAGAGGATAGCTCCTGAGTGACTGAAGCAGATCTAACTAAACCATCTTGAGGCCAATGTAGCACCCAATCAAGAATATGTCCACGATTATGCGTCGGTTGGTCGACTGCTGAAGACTGAAGAAGTCCAAAAGATCCAACATCCTAGCAATGGAGGAATGTTGTGGTTGATCGAAATGAAAGTTCATGTCACCTAGTACAATGTAAGTCCTGGCCAATGTGTTGCAGTGATCAATCAAGGCCGGGAATTCTCGATGAAACAATGCGTCGGTCAATTTATTTTTCTTACTAGGGAAGGTTCGATATAAGCACATTAAATGAACGTCCTGCTGGGGCACTGATAGGGTAAATTGAACTGCCTCAAAAGATGTATGAACAAATGGGAGGTCTGTGACAAAAGCTATATGATGGGACAACGTGTCTCTATATATAATAGCAAGGCCTCCACCATGAGTTGAACGGGGAAATGATCGGGCTGAATAGCCAGATGGAGCGAGATCGGTGCACTTCCCCTCATTGCCAGTCAGCCGAAACCAGGTCTCCTGGATAAACAGAATGTCAATGTGCATATCAGTGATAAATTTGGAAACTGCGATGCGTTTCTCTTAAGAGCCAAGCGACTGGGCGTTGAATGAGGCGATGAGAAGCTGTCTGTTGCTGATAGGTGGAGAGGTTTTGATGTGATGGCAGTCAACAGCAACTAGATTTGATCTCGTCTTGCCCCTTTGAGGTGGTGTGAAATCATGATCCGCTGACCATGCTCTTAGGATTGACACATAGGGAATGGTTGAGATGGATGACACGGTATATGGCTGATTTCCATCATCACTTAAAGTTTCGTTTAAAGGCTTTACATTACAATTTCCGCAAGCAGTAATATTGACGTGGCTGTCGTCATGGTGGTATTTCAGTGGACGCTGTTTCCGACGACCTGCTCGATAAAGACGCTTCTTCTTTCGTTGTGGGCCAATTTTCCTTCCACCATTACGATGGGTACACTTATGGGGCAGGCCTCAACCAATGGAGAGTTCTTTCAATCGATATGCAAGGTTAGCAGTCAAGAGTATACGTTGGGTATTCATTGACAATAGCCGATCGCGTGAGTAAATCAGCACATCTCGATTACCTCCGTGGGGCTGGGGTGTGTACCCAACCGTATCATTAGCCTGCATGAGGGATGATTGTGATGACAGCCTAGATGGCCGATAACGTAAGGAAAACAGAAAACACAGATAAAGCTACAATATGATCAAGAGCTCGATCCTATACATGCCTGTAAGGTGTAGTCTCAAGCTCAAGACAACTCTGACTTCCCCGAAATTGAATTTATTTAATTATGATAATGATTTAACAACACCTGCCTGTTTTGGCACAATTTTGGTAAACAAAAGTTTGAAAGGCAGCCATCTTGTTGCTAGCCGGAAGTCTTATTAAATAAACTTTACCATGTCCTAAAGGAACCTAGTTTGCTCTACAAAAAACGTAAGGTTTTTTAGGTTGTTTTTTTAAAATGGTGGATACCGCGTTTTGAAAATAAGCTCTTCATATATATATATATATGTATGATTTTTTTTAAAATGTGAATTTTTGCCAAGATTGAAGATAATCACTAAAATTGAAATGAAGGAATAAGTTCATTTGTGATTCATCTGGTGTGGCATAATATTTAATGTGGTGGGCTGAAATAGGCCCACAGTTCATGGGTTGGCCAACCCTGTTTAGAAAACTGAGTTTATGAAAGCAAGTGATCACAAATAAAAACCTCAAAATTTTGTTTTCATAATTGAAAAATGTCTTTTCATTCTCTTTCTTAAAAATTTTAATCAAGGTTTATTTTCACTTGTGATGCTGTCCCACATTTTAACATCTGAATGCATTAACCATAGAGAGCAAAGCAGATAAAATTGAAATTGTTTCTTTTGTTTATTTAAATGTTTGCAAAGTTGTGTCACATTCAAGCTAAGTAAAAAATAATTATTTGTGATTGACAAAATAAATGTTTGTCTCATATAACCATTTCTAACTTAAGTGAAATTAGTCTTTTTTTCTGCCTGTTGTACAGGAAACAAAAGTAAATTTAGAGAAAACTTCTGCCAAGTTAAAAGAAGCCAGAGAAGAGACTGAGGTTATTCGAAAAGAGTGTCAAGCCATTGTGAAAAGATATCAAGTTAGTAATTTGTCCTACAAAATTATTCATTTTTTATACCAAGTTCGTAGTAAAAATAGCTTTTCCTTGGAGTGATAACTGCATTAATTTATTCCATCCAAATTTATCATTAAAAATTATTTTGTTTTTTTTTCTTGACTTTATAAAAATACATTGTGTAAAAGTATTTCAAGACTTAAACTATCTGACAGGAATCAGAAGAAATTAAGTCCAACAGTCTAGATAAAGAGTTGAAAATAAAGGAAACTGAGCTAAGAACACAGATGCAAGAAAAGAATGATACAGAGGAGGTAATTTATTTGTGTCATTTATACTGCCTACTTGTCATAATGCACATATAAAACAAGAAAAATTTAAAAGCAATTTCTAGGGCTCAGTCCGATAATAAACAAACATCTGATAAAATTTGCAAAAAGACAGTCAATTTTTAAAATTGAATCTTTTGTTAGGTTATAACCACAAGCCTAGTGATATGCATTTATTACTATATCTTGATCCATTTTGAATAAATGATTGAATTAATTGGTTTCATTTAAATTGCTTCATTTAAATTTAAATTGTACAACTATTAATTACACCAGCTTGTGTCAGTACAAAATATAAATAGGAAGTTACTTGTTTCAGTAAAATGAGGACACTTTTCAAGAAATTGTAAATCTGAAGATATACATTATTTAAAACCAAAGAGAAAAAAGCAGTATTTTAAAAAAGGTCCAATTTGTTGTTTTTTTCAAGATTCATCAGATGACTAAAAGGGAATTAGATTCATTAAAAGCCCAACACAAAGATGTCTTAGAAGAAGCTAAGACCCTTAAAGACAAGGTAGAGAGATATTTGACTTAAATATAACCAACCTTAACAGTTTTAGCATTTATTATTTTTGTGATTATGGAACTGATATTCCTGTTGCATGAGTGAAAACATCCCAATGAAGATATTAATTTTTCATGTAACTTGTCCACAACATTGAAAAAAAAAAAGAAGACATGACCATTACTCTATATGGAAGCTGCAAGAAGTGTAAATATTTAGTTCTGAAATTTTATCATAACCAAATAAATATATCGATTATTTGGATTTTAAAAAAAAAATAGGTTCACTGTTTAGAAGATGAACGTCAGCAAAACCATCGTATGATTGAAAATTACCAAGAAATTATGCAAAGACAGAAGACTGACAATGCTGGTTTGAAGTCACAGATATCTTCTCTTACTACACTAGAAGAAGACTATAAAAGGTTGGTAGTATTCTGTAACTATTTGGTTGTTGATATCCTTTTCAGCTTTAGCAATGCACATGAAACTATACTTAACGATACTTATTATTTTTTTTTCTGCAAGTGTCTTTAATAATAGCCTATTCTACCTCTATACATTGTTGCCAATAAAAAAAGAATTATTTTAATATTTTTTTTCAAATAAATTTAACTTGGTCTTTTGGTTAAGCTATGGCAGTCCAGTTGTTCTTTTAAAAAAAATTAAATTAATCTCAATTATGTTTATGCAATCTCTGTGATAAAAAGATTTTTGAAAGAGTCCAAGTTGATGAAAAAGGGTAAAAAAAATTTTAGAGAATTAAAAAAAATTTTTTTTTTTAGAGAATTAAAAAAAAATTAAAAGCACATTTTTAAAAGAATTTTTATTTACAATTGTGACTGTTAAATGAAACTCATCATTACATGTGTTTATTTCAACACTAGAGCTCAGGACATGATTCAGGCTCTAGACAAAGACATTAATGACCTTAAAATAGTCAATCGAGATTTGCAGAAAGACATGGAGTCTTGTAGGGAAAGAGAGTCTAAAATGCTTACACTACAGTCAGAACTGAGTCGCTCAAATGCCCTGCTAAGGTCTGAAAACTCTAACCTCAGCAACAAAGTCAGTATTTTTTTGTTTTGCTTTTATTATGCCAACGATACATGTTTTAGTGAAATTTGGTGAGCTGAATTTTATATTCAACTATTGATTTATAAAAATTAAATAAAATTTATTACCTGTAGTTAAAATTGAGAAATGTCACTTAACCATATTGTCATTGATATAAAAATAGTTAAACAATTTTCACAGCACGATGAAAATATCTGAAAATTTTGATTTCATGCCTCCTCTGCATTATTAAGTGGAACTAGCTATAGGAATTCATTGCATATGCATTCCATTCTCAGGCTTCTACTCTTAGTACTGAAGTTGAACAACTGAAAATGCAATTACAGGAGTTGGATACTACGGTGAAAAATTTGGTAGGTATAAAATTAAAGTGGGAAGGTGAGTTTTGTGTCTATTATTTCATTTCCCTGAAATAATAATATCTTAAAAATCACATTTGTAATAAAATGTTTCTTTATTTTTCCACTTTTCATACATCAGACTGAAAAATATCATTTTGAAAAAAGTAAAAAGCAAGAGGAATTGGATAGAATGAGTGCATCACTCGCTGAACAAATCAAGGAATGTGAGTGATTATTTAATACATTATATGATATAGTAAATACAGTATATTTAGATGAAAGTGATCATTCTTATCTGGGACAAGTCTCCAAATCAAATATTCCCTGTCTGCATTTTCCCCCTTATACAGGACTATTACATAACAAGCTTATGGCAAAAGTTAGTGTTATATCTGTTGTCAGATACACATGTTGATACATCCCAATAATTTTCATGTAGTATAAATTATGATGTTTCTAGGCTACCTGCTATTATTATTCAATTGTGTGATAGTCCTTAATCTGTAATGTAGGCATGGTATATAACCCTTAAAAGAAATATTTTTTTTTAAAAGGGAAGAATTTATTGATTTGGAACCTAATACATTTTAAATTTCCGAATCATTGTAGGGTGGACCCCAGAAATGCTTCCGGGAAAATGAACTATCAACTTAATTTATACAGTAATTGAGATATTTTTATCATTGCTGAACTAGATACAACATCATTTGAAAGCTTGAGGTTGACTGAAACATTTCTAAAATTTCAATGTTTCAGGCAGTGATTACAAACAGAAATGGGAAGATGAAATGGACAATAGTAAAACACTAAAGCGCAGACATGCCAACAATATAAAGGTACACAGCACAAATTATTAAAATTGTTGTTTTGGGAAGTGAATTTGTTTCACTTTTCTGTATTATTATTGCAACCAATTATGCAATGCATGCAATGAAATATTTGTCCAGCATTTAAGTTGCTGCATTTAATCTGTCAACACACGTTTCAATATGTTATGTAATTTCTCTGTTTAGGACCTAACTCGGCAGCTGCAACAAGTTAGGAGGAAACTTGAATCTCAGGAGGGTAAAGGTGATGCCTGCAGTATGGGATCACGTACCAATTCAAATGGCAGCCTCAACTCTGTTGACAACTCTCAACATTCACAAACAGCTCACCAGGCACCTGTCCAGGTAACCCAATAAGTCCAAAACTTAAAGAAAATAGATAAGATGCTGTAAAACTTCTGAACATTCTCTTTCTGTAATTTATTTATCACTATCAACTGTGAAATTAAGTAAATGATAGTATTTTCTCATAACTATTTATATACTCGAAAAATTAAGGATAATTTAAGAAAACCATAAAGAAAGAAAAAAATTTCCAGGAATTCCGTGTTATCACTGAACAAGTTGAAGTTGACAAACAAGTTTTGATAGAAAGGATAGTCCGTCTACAAAAGGCTCATGCTCGGAAGAATGAAAAGTTGGAGTTCTTAGGAGAGCATATCCAGCAGTTATTGGAGGAGATCAAGAAGAAAAACAAGTTAGTATTCAGTTAAATGCATTATACAGATGAATTGAAATAATATCCTATGATAGATCACAGCTTAGCTTACAATGCTAATAACCCGTGAAAACCATCATTCAGCCCCATTTCTCTCCTCCGGTAACAATTTAATTTACACTAACACATTAGCTGCTAACCTCATTACTCCGAAACACCCCATGGAATGCTAAGCTAAAAGAGATAACTCTTAATTGCAAGCGCTCGAATGTTAAAAAAATATTTGTTTGAACCACTAAACAACATGCAATTTTATAAAACAAGTATTGACAGAGAGAAAAATGAATGACATTTATAAAAAATGTATAGTTTTATATACTATTCTTTTTGCTGCAAAGCAATATATTCATAGTTTTTAAAATCTCTGCAGCATTTTAGGTTTGCGATGATTTTTGGGTCTCATGAAATTTGGCAAATTAGTAACCCTTTAAACCTGTGCGCAGCCAGTTGTTTCCCTGGTTCTGCCACTGTCCATCTTGTTATTAGCAGTGTAATAACACTGGTAACATCAACATTTTCTGCCAAGTATGGGTCTTAACATTTGCTGACAGCTGTATGGCATATTAGATATCTGTTTCCATCATGCCATGGCATAAAGCTGCACCATTTCATTTCCATTAGTCATAAACAGTCTGAAATAATTTGCTGTACTGCTATTAAATAGGAAAGCTATTCAATCTATGTAAATCTTTCAATCTGATTAGTAACAGTGGTCACATTGTCTGACTAACACCCAGTGACAATGTATTTATATCATTCTTCAAAGTAGCCTCACATTCTCAGTATCTGACTCATCTTCATTGCCGTTATTATTGTTGAATCTGTAATTAGACAATGAACCAGCAATCAAACTAAAATACCATAGCAATAAATTTTCATACAACACAATCACAGATTCACTAATATTAGTCCAACTTTACAACTTGTAGCTCACAAACCGAAAAAGATAAAAGCATCCCTTAAAAAAAAAAAATCCCTTAATTTCCTACTTTTTAAGTATCCAAATGCTATTCGTATGAAAACAAAACACATCTTGTGAGACTGACTGGTATGTGTACGTTGCTAGGGAATATGACACATTGGGTCGCATTAGTATTGAGTGGGGTATGTTGCATTTTGTTGCAATGTAATAGTAGTGAATGGGTTAACAGCTTCAGTCTTCATTAAGTTAAAAGTTACTTTTTATTTACATATGGGTCACACATCTCTTTAAAGAGCATTGTTTTATTTGTGTCTGATAGTAAATTCAAAATCGAAGTATTGAGGTTAATATATTATTATATTTCTTTTGTAGAGAAATCTCTGTTAGTTTAATTACATGTGTAGAGTGAACTGTCAGAAAATTACTGTCTTGCAAATGGGTTGTTTGCATAAGTAAAGAATGGTTTCCAACATATAACTTGGCCTCATGTAAATAGGATTAGTTATTTTTCCTTTAATAAGCCAAAATAATTATTAAATAAATAGTCATTTTATATAATATTCTTTAATAATTATTATACTATTTTTTCTTTCAGCTTATCTTAAATATTTACATTTATTTTTTGTTATATTCAATTGAATTAAGTAATGTTGCAGCCATAAAAAGGTATCACTAGCATTTGGATGTGTAAATAAAAATAATGATCAGATTAATTTTCTTGTCATCTCTTAATAAAATGATTAACTATTCAAGTTTTAGAAAATTCAAACTGTACTGTTAATATATTGGATTGATATAAAATAAATGAAAAATAGAAAAAGAACTGAGGTGTGGGAAATTCCAAAAATTAAAATCCTCTTTCATTCAATTTTTACTTGTTTTTTAATGTGGCAGAATAATCCAAACTTATGTGTTACGAGAAGACGCTGGGACACTGTCATCAGAGGAAATGGATTCAAATAAGGTTAGAGTTTGCATTTTATTAATATATATATATATATATATATATATATATATATATATATATATTATATATATAAATATAAAATATATAAACCCTATACATATAATTATATGTATTGAAAAACATTAAAAAAAAATATATATATATATTATATATATAAATATAAAATACCTAAACCCTATACATATAATCCTATGGATTGAAAAACATTAAAAAAAATTAATCACTAACTGGTGCTACATTCATTTTTTTTTTTAATTTTTTTTTTTCACTAACAATACTAACATAAAATTAAAATGTGGGTATCAACAATACATTGTTGGTTTTAGAAGCGTTTTAATTTTTACAAGCATAAGGGTATTTTGAGACTTCATTTAACCTGTGATAAGTGCATGTACTATTGTGTAACCATTGTTTTTTATTACAACTTATTTTTTTTAGTTTTAAAACGTAAAAGGAAAAACAAATGGGAATCGGTTGTCACAATAAAGGATTATAATGAGAACTATTAGGAAGTAAAATTTCTTGGTTACAAAATTCTTTTGAGTGGCATTTTTATCAAGACTTGTTAAGAAATATGCCCTCAAATTTATTATTTGCTTTTGTCGAATTAAATGTTTCTATCCAAAGAAAGACATAAAGCTTATTTTTTTACCTTAGGTAAAAGTTTGGTAACTCAGCAAATTTGGGGAATCTCCTATTAAAAAAGGTGTCACCTAATCTAAAATGCCTTAATTGAAAGCCACTGCCATCAAGCTCCTTTTGAAAGTTTTTTAACTTCTGTATGAAGAAGAACCTATTGATGTTGAGTTCCTATTGTTTCCCAAACAATTCTAAACCGTCATGAATATATATATATATATATAGTGCATTTCCTCCCTGATGTCCACAATCCTTACCAAAATATAAATAGGGGGGTGCAAAAACCTGCTCAGCAACTTGGGAGGCACTTCCCCTTAACCACAAAAAGAAGGTCCTGGATGATTCATTTCCTTCCTTGAAGATAGGATTCCTCCTACAACCGAGGGTTCCTTGGGACAATTTGGGAATAGTAAAGACATCCGATATGAATTTTTATGTTATCCTTTTCTCTAATTTTAACTATAGCTCTGTGTTCTATTTAACATGGGAATGATTTTATGTTTCACAGGAACGTGTGAATGCTATTTATAAGGTATCATTTTTCTGGGGAAAATAAATATATTTCTAAAGCTCTGGTAGATTTTTCTTTATAATTTTTTTCTTCCTCATTTTAATTATTTTGTTCCTCAGCCCTGCAAAGGTTTCTGGCCTCATTTTATCTCTATGAGTTTGTTGCATGTCTTTTTGAGGGGAAGGTTATTTCTTGCAGCATTAGCCACTTTTCTCATTATTTCTTTTTGGAACAATGTTTGTGAATGCTATACCTTAAAAAAGGAGTTATGTCTTGCTGCTGTAGTCTTAAATATATAACTTTATGACTTATGTTTCCTAAAGTGGACTGGGTCCTAGTCCTACGTTATTGCAATCTCAGGAGAAAATACTATTTTTAAAATTAAGAATGGACCTTAATTGATATACATAGTATTATTTTTTGGAGTTACATTTTTAAACAAATAAAATTTTAAGGCACTCATTGTGTGTATAAAAATTTAAAAAAAACAATGAATAAAAGTAATGCTGTGCCCACTTAGAAAAATGTCCGGATTGTTACTTAAGTGATACTTAAGTCATAAAATCTCTCCATTTACAACATTTCATTTAGTATTTTTATGTCAAGTTTATTTTGATACTGCTAAAATAAAATCTCTTTGCCATTCCTTTAATTGAAATCTGCTTTTTGTGTTTTAATGAAAACCAAAAAAATATTTAAAATGGTAAACAATAAAATTACTGAGATCTCATCTAAATTGCTCTTACATATTTTTCTGAATCTGTACCTCCATTGGCTGTGTCAAGATTAATAATTCCCTTCTCATGCAATATCTTTCAATATTATATACCCTACCCCTCTACTCTGGAGAGGCTTGCCTTGAATTTTTATTATGTACTACATATAGATGAATGAAATATGCTAAAACTACCCATAACATTATATCCAACAAATCTCTAATTATGTTATTTAGACTTTTATTTAGCTGAGGCCAGTGTTGTGTATAATTTCTCTATGGTATTAAACAATACTAACACTCTAGAAGACAATAGGATTAGGCAGGCCAAAACTTTTAGTCAAAGAATGGGCAATTACATTATCATCTAACATTAAAATATATTGAGGAACTATATATATACTGCATGATTTTTTATTCATAAAGTAATTGAAATGAGTTTAGATAAACCAGTGCAAGTTTTAAATCATCTGTTACAAATTTTAAATTAAGAATTGAGATAGAACTAGCAAATTGTTCAAACTGACTTCATTTAAGTATTCACCTCTTTTTCTAAATTTAAAAAAAAAACGAAGTGGCTATTCGCACCCGGGTACCAGAAGTGAGAGGTTGGGATTAAAAAACTATTTAAAATATTATTGTTGGGTTTGTAAGACAAAATGAGGTATCAAATGAAAGATAATTGAATGGACTATATGTTTGTAAACTTACTTCTTCAGTTTAACTAAAATAAACTACGACAAATGACATTCGAATAGCATTGAGTCTAATGGGACCCAGGTGCGAATGGTGGCGTTGCATGTCCGGGGCCATTTTGACTAAATGTTAATCGGATGTCATATTTCGTTGTTTATTTTAGTTAAACTGAAGAATTAAGTTTACAGACATATAGTCCATTCAATTATCTTTCATTTGATACCTCATTTTGTCTTACAAACCCAACAATAATATTTTAAATAGTTTTTTAATCCCAACCTCTCACTTCTGGTACCCGGGTGCGAATAGTCCCAGCCTTAAAAAAAAATACTTAAAATGTATTTATTTATTTGTATGCAAGATCACTGCTGTATTGGAAGACTTAAATCACGTACACTATATGAATCTTGTTATTGTGATCAATTTCCTGGTAATGGCTATTTTATAGATCAGAGAGTATTACTTTCGTATAAATTAAAGTAGAATTTACCATTACTAATGCATGGTGTCAGTTAATAATGGACTAATAATTTATTACATTATTGGTTTTGGAACCTGAATCTATCGGATAGTGCTTCACAGCAATAACAGCAGAGGTATTACTTAGCGCTTTATACTTAGCTTTTTGAACGTGTTGTGTCTGTGTTGTGTACTTGTAACTAATACTTGGATTTTTCTCCATTGCTGGCTGCAAGGCGGAGGTTCAGAAGGAGATTCAGGTAGGAATGTAGCACAGAGGCCAATCTTTTGTTTGTCATTGTTCAGTGCTGAGCAGTTCTTTAGGTTTCATCTTAGGGGTCTTTCGCAAATTACATCACGCTCAAGGGGGGGGTGTGTGTCCGAGAATTTGTGACTGGGGGGGGGGGGGGGGGGAAAAATTTTTTTACGGTTTTTTTTTTTATTTTTTAAAAAAAAAAAAAATTTTTTTTTTTTTTCCNGCTTCTTCCATAACAAAATTTAGCACCATTGTAATGTAGAGGGCAACAAATAAAGCTATAATTTATAGCAGCAATAAGCTGCAAATTTTCAGGTAAATCCTAAACTTCTGAGTGAACGTGAATATTTGAAATAATTAAACACCATAGAAATAAAAATCATCTTTTTTAATGGGGTTTTGTGGTAGGGATGGGATTGGGTTGGGGGGCGGGGGTGAAACTAAAACTAACCACCTGAATTTCTTGAAATGAAAAGGTCAGAACAGCCCAGGAGCACAACCAGGATCCAGAGAGGCTGTTCCTTCTCAGTGTTTACCTGGGCATGGGGTTCGTGGTTGGTTGTATTGGACTTGGCTACATCACCATCAGGAATAGCAACGAGTGTTACATATCAAGGTGGGTGTTACAAATCAAGGCAGGTGCATAGCAATGGCAATGAGTATTAAATATTAAGGTGAGTGGTACACATCAATTTGAATGCTACATATCAGTTTGAATGCTGGGTGGCCGAGCAGTCTAAACTGTCTCAAACCAAATAGTGGGTGGCCTGGAGTTCAATCCCCACAAAACCCAACATCCCAAGCACCCCTGGTGGATGGGACTCGTTAGCCTTGGACGGCAACCCATCTAAGATAATGCAAACTCTGAATTTAAACCAGGAGCGAGAATGATCAACAAATTGATCGTGGGCCCCTCAAAGATAAGAAGAAGAAGAATGCTACATATCAAGGTGATTGCTACATATCAAGGTGAGTGCTAGACATCAAGGTGAGCGTTCTGCATCAAGGGTAGTGCTACAGATCAAGGAGAATGCTACATATCAAGGGGAGTGTATAGGAATAGCAATTTGTGCTATAAATCAAGTGGAGCATATGAGAAGGATAGCCAGTGATAGATTTATATGAAAGGTTTCCCTCATTTACCATGATGGCTTACTGTCATCACTACAGACATTATTATAGCACTCACTTTACAAAGGTTTATTTATTTTAAACCCCTTGTAAATCTATCTTCTCAAAGGGCAAACATATTAAACAAGAAATTACCATATCTGATTAAGGATGAATCATCCTAGGCATCCTTAGTAAAAAAAAGTATGATCTCTCTATAAATGGATTAGCATGATGAAAAAATGCATAAATTACTAATTATCTGAGAACTTTTTTTACTTTATCTTTAAACTTTACGATTCTTGCTTTTAAATAGTTTCAAGAACAAGAATTTTTTTATCACATCTTTAGGAATAATTTTGTCAGCTAATATTGTAACTTGTTTTCTAACAGTCTTATGTCATGTATTTTCATGGTTAAAAAAATACAAAAATCATAAGAATATGAATTTAATATTAGATTTGTGACTAAAATTTATTGTTTGAATTTCAACATTTCCGTCATTGTTAATATTATTAGTAATGACAGGGAAATATTGTTTTTAAATAAGCATTTGTTTAGATCATTCATATTACGAGTTCTTACAAATCTGAATATTTTAGAAAAATTTAGAACCATGACAAGCTGTATTAAAAAACTCCAATTAATTTGAAGCCTAATTTATGTGCTACTACTTATTTATATATTAAAATTGAATATTTTTAAACATTTAATCAGAAGACATCTGTGCCAGACGTCTGCCATTCTGTGTGGCCTGTTCACACTGCTACTACTAATGGCAACTGATGAGAGCTCTCATGCATTGTATGCCTGGGCCTATGGCATCTGCTGTGGGAGTTATTACTACAGGTAAGCTATGACTTTTTAATAATGTAGCCGAGTGGTGACGTAGCTTACAGTTTAAATAAAATCACAATAAAACAATCAGGTCTGAGAACTATAGCTTTTTAATGTAAGGTACAATCCATTGACAGAGCCGACAGGAAAATCTCTCACACCTGCCACCGACCCGACGCATCCGTTCCACAACACAATCTAAAAAATGTACACACTCCAAGTCCCAGTTCGCCCCCCCCCCTCCACACAGTCTTTGGGAACCCGCGTCCCGAGGTGACCATGGGTCAACCCCGGGGCAGGGATGGTTATTCCCCCGTGTAAATAGCCGACATAAAATTTAAGGCTAGTACACAGCTGTGTGTTACTTTAAATGACCATGGATGTGTCCGTGCTTGGGGTTACCCATAGCAGTCACACTATGACTATGAGAGTGGATTCTCTTATTCCTATCTGTTCCATACTGCCGCATATAAAATGTTACCTAAAAGCAGTTGCAAATAGTGGCACATTGCCACAATAAATTTATCCAACTGTAATTAATTATATTAAACAAATCTACTAATCTCTGACAAACTTAATATTTGTTGTGTTTATTTAATCAAAAGTTTGTCAGAGTGTTGAATTTATCAAATTCACTCCATCATTATGATCTTTATTAAAATTTTACAGCCCTTACACACTTTTACCATGCACTGTTTTACATAGTCTAAAAAAATAGTTTGACACAATGCTGTAAATTGAAAGATTTTAGCTATTTATTTTAACATCAAGATCTATATCAAAGTTCAAATTTGTAACATTGAATTTTGAGGTATTGATATCAAAATGAACCATTAACAACTTTATATGGTTTGTTCTTATTTAGATGAGTGATAAGTGCATTAGTGAGTTGTATTTGGCTATGAATTTTCATTGCCCTTAATGGCTTAAACTGTATTTTTTCATTTAAAATATTTTTGCATGTTAAGTTTTTTATATTTTATAGAATTGATAAAAGGACAATTTTGGAATAAAAAATAATTAAAACTTACTAAAAGTTAAAAATACAAAACTAAAATTTGGTATGGCGTGTTAACAATTTAAAAAGCAATCAATGATATTTATTAAATTTCTTTTAATAAAGGGGGGAAACATTGTCAGGTTTGTCAAACGCGTTTATTAACTGAAGGAAATTTAAAGCTTATAATTTGCAAATTTCAATTAAGTTTTCATAAGAGTATTCTTCTTTTTCTTTCTTTAAGTTCAATCAAAAATTTTAAGTTGATATTATTTGAAGACTTCATTTAAATTTAATTTTGCAATATTAACAAAGCAATAAAATTAAACAAACGATTTTTGGTTTTCCCGTTAAATGTTATTATAAATTAATTATAGTAATACTTAGATGATAATTTTCTGACATTATAAAGAATACGGGAATCTTAACTTTCAAATTCGGATAAAATCATTAAAAACATTATTTTAACGTATTTATAATAATAATACTTTTTTATATGTCTAAGTATTATCAGATATATTTTATTTTTATCATATTAAAATTGATTTGATATCCAAAAAATAATGGAAAATCCCTATCATTGTTTTTAAGTACCCGAACATATTTGAATAGATTGGGGTTTTTTAGTGTTATATTATTATATATAACCTTAGCTCATTCTTAAATATATATATATAGGCCTATATGTAATTATGTTAAAATTTGTAAATAAATGACAGTAGACGATGATTTGCATAATGAAGAGAAGTAATAAGAGCAACATTAGCAAATAGGAAATAACCACCCAAGTGGTGCTAAATTATATGTTATCAAGGAACTATTCACCCAGTAACTAATCAATCTTCATGCAATATATGATTCCAATAAAACTTAGGAATAAAAAATTGATTGTAGCTTGATAACAAAAACAAGTAAAATCATTATGATGTGATAATGATTTCTTTATTGCTAGGATATATTTATAAAACATGCAACCATTTATCTATAATATTTATTGGTTGAACGTATTACCAGAAAATCAAAATTCTTAAAATAAATGTGTATCTGAAAATATAGTAATTTTATGGATGGTTTTGATCATCTAGCGGTTCCTCCTATTACAAGGCTCCCTTGCCCCTGCCATCATCCCAAAAATTATGACTGGGATCACCTACTTTTTTGTGGGGTGAGAGGACTGACTGCATTTGGTAATCTTTTATAAATATGTAAACAGCATCATTTTTAATAGTGAAAAACACAAACGATATTGAAATGAAATTAATTAAACTTCTAGTAAGTTTGTTAAAGGGAATTTTTAGTTTAAATAATTCTATAATGAAATTATTCAGCACAGTAGGTTTTGAAAAATGAAATAAAATAGAAGCATAATAAATGACATGATTTAAAAATTAACAAAAATTGAACCATGAATTTTTATGCCCATTAAGGAAAGGTGCATATACCCACTAGGGGTGGTGTAAGGTGCTGCAAGAAGAGCCAGAAAATCCAGTTTTATTTGCATTTTTATTTTGAAGGATGTAGGAAAATAAGTTTTGAAATTGACATGGCAGTTTGAGGGAAATGTTTTGAAATCAAGAAAGGGTGTGCACTGCAAAAAGGTTAAGAGCCTCTGCATATAGTAGGTTACAATTTCATTAATCTGAAAAAATATGTCTTTGTTAAAATTATAATGAATTTAATCGAAAATCATATTTTTGATGGGTTTTCTTTACCCAATGAAAAAAACTTTTTTTTTAAATATATCTGGGTGGTAGGTCCCTTTACTAATTCATTGTGTCATATTTGTGAATAAAATATCACAGTTTAATCATGGATTGTGTTAAAATTTATTTGCAGCCTAAAGACCTATGTTTATGAACTAGTAAAAACTAAGCTGATGGAAAGAGCGTGGAGCTTTCTGTGTGCTGCTAACAGTTTCCCAATGTTATTTGGTGCACCTGCTGCAGGTTGGTAGATAACATGCAATGATTCTCCATGCCTTGTTCAGTGCTGTTTTGTGTACCATTCCTATACCTGATCGAAGTGGCTATTCGCACCCGGGTACCAGAAGTGAGAGGTTGGGATTAAAAAACTATTTAAAATATTATTGTTGGGTTTGTAAGACAAAATGAGGTATCAAATGAAAGATAATTGAATGGACTATATGTTTGTAAACTTAATTCTTCAGTTAAACTAAAATAAACTACCACAAATGACATCCGAATAGCATTTAGTCAAAAAGGACCCGGACACTCAGCGCCGCCATTCGGACATGGGTCCCATTAGTGGTAATTTATTTTAGTTAAACCAAAGAAGTAAGTTTACCATTCAATTATCTTTCATTTGAGACCTCATTTTGTCTTACAAACCCAACAATAATATTTTAAATAGTTTTTTAATCCCAACCTCTTACTTTTTAAACCTGGGTGTGAATAATCACAGCCTTACATTATATGCCAAAATAAAACATTCGTCTAATCACTGTTTTGTACAATTATTAACAAATTAAGTCTAGGAAAGACTGTTTCTCTTTGTTACTCTAAGAAAATCAGATAAATACTCTGTAGATACTACAATCTGTAACCAAAAAAAAATATTTTAAAAGAAATAAGCTGTTGTATATTTCCATTTGCAATTTAAGCTGCAGCTCATGAATTGTTATAATTCTCCAGCTCTTAACACAATAATTTTCTTGATCTCTGCCAGAACATAGGTGGTTGTCTGTTGGACAAACCTTACACAAATGTGTTGATAGCTTAAAATAATTTGTACATGGCTCTTTTAAGTATTATACAGTTTTAAAGAATTATTCTTTTTATAAATTTTAGCTTATTTTCATCCTCAGCATATTTGAATGAGAGCTATGAGTCAAAGGTCGCTGGCTACATACTAGCAGGTGTGGCAATGATGGTGGGAGGTCTCTTGTTTTATGCCATGCCATTCTTTGAGCGACACCCGTCCAATCATGAAGTTCTTCAGAAACACAGCAGCTGCCAGTATCCTGCTCACATAACTGAGGCTGCTGCCCTCCTAGACATTGATTTCTCTGAAGGCTGTCCAAGTGGCAAACACAACATCATGACTCACAATGGGCACACCCCCATTAAACTCAGCAAGCACAGCACAAACAGCTCTAACAGCAAAAGTGATGGAGGGGGCGTGCGAGTCCAGCTACAATGTTTTGTCCAGCACAAAGAAAGGGATAAACCTAAACAGGCCGTCCTCACAAAAATCACAGAAGAAAAAGATGGCATCAAGAGTAATGGCTCCACTGGGGAATTTTCAAAGAAAGGTGGAGCTGGTGGCAGCACATCCAACCAAGTGGAGCTAAGTGTCACCAAAGCTGACTACTCTGAGTCCATGACGGATGGGCCTTCAGACAGCACCTTTTCAAACAACACAGATAAATCCAGCAGTAAAGATAATGGGGACAGAAGCTATGGGAAGCTGGAGGGGAAGAAGAGTAAGAAGAATGATGTGAGGATTGATCTGTTTGATCCACCGAGCCAAGAGAAAGAGTCCACAGCCACAGTGTCTTATGATAGTGATTTGTACATTAATTTATGTGAAGCCCAAGTGTAAATCATCAACAAGGCAATTTGTGCCTTAACTTTAGGTTGGTTCTCCTCCACCCACCCAGTTACACTTGTGGTGCTGGCACTTACACAAAAAAAAAAAAGAAATATTTTACTCTCGAGCTTTGGGACATTCCGCTAGTAGTGAGATACTAACTATTGCAGAACCAACATGTGGATTTCCATGACTTCATAAATTGGATATACAGGTTTTTTTTTAACACCATGCTATTATTGTAATTAGGTGCTGCCTTGCTCTTCTAAACATATTTCCCTCAATGTAAACAAAGCCTGAAAGAAATTTTTTCCAGTTTTTAAAATTTTCTTAAATTAATTTCTACTTGATTTCTTTAGGTCTGAAAAGTATTTTTGATGCTGTGAACCACTATTATTACGCCTGTGTGGCTATGGCCCTAAACCAGTAGTTCGGTAAAGGAAATAAATTCCTGAATTTTAAATTTTAGTGGAGAATAGGGAGAATAGTTGTTTATGCATAATGTTTTTTTCTAAAGACTCCACCGATGGCTGAATATGACCCCCTTATGGGGTCTGTGAACCCTAGTGTTAGGGGTCTGTAAACCACTGCGTAAGATGCCAGCTTTATCACTTGATTGCATTCTCCCAAATATTTTTTCTTTAACTTAGTCGGGATTAAAAATTAAAAAGAAAAAAAATAGCATATTTTAAATATGTCACTCATTTTAACACTGGTAGACCTTTCATTTCTAGAAATAGAGCAAGTATAATAAATTATAATTTTACATTTTAATACAAAAGCCTCATGTGCTTTTTATCAAAGCAATTCTTTAAATAAGCTTTTGCTTTGAAAAAAAAAAAATTATTTTTGTCAAACAAGCTTTATTTTTGGAGTGATCATTGAGCAATTAGATATCTGATTATCATGAAGAGCTAGAGTTGGTATGAAGGATTTTTTAGCATTATAAGTCAAGCAATCTGAAAGTCTAAAATGTAACTAATGATAAGGAGATGGTCTGATTTAAATGTTTATAAAATAATTTAAAGAACATCAAATGAAATGAAGTCAAGGACATAATTTGTCCTTTCCAGAAAAGTAGTTTTAAAAAACCATACCTCATTTTAATTAATGTAAAATTAATATCTTTACTTTCAGTGGCCACTGGCAAACAATTTATTATATAGTGTAAATTTCTTAGTTATGGGGTGAGCAAAATAATTTTTAAATTTATTTTTTGATTGAGCGTGAAAACTTAATTTAAAAATTATATTCATTTGACATGCTGGGGTGATTTTTTTAACAATATTTTTATGACACTGAATGTAAGTAATGAACTAAGATAATATTTCCATTCTTGCTTTACCAAGCACTGGCATAAAAAAATAATTACAAAAAATCTAGCATTGAAATACCCTATGTAAGATGTTGCATAAATGTTGACCTTTTCCAGCCTCATATTATCATATCATTGCAGCATTGATAATCAGTTTGACTTTTTTTTTAACTATGGGCTAATACAGTTATACAAATCAAAGTGATTTGGTATTAGTTCATTTTTTTCCTCTCAAGAATGGATGCTGACACACTAACTGTTGTGTTTGGAAAAGGCTCTCAAATCTTTGTTTGAAATTATTTTTTTCAAACCTAGATGATTATCATGATTCATCTGATTATAATTTTGGGTCACATAACTTTATTTCTGAAAATTCTATTTAAAAAAATATTTTTAAAAGTAAAAGAAAGTAAAAAAAATATAGTGGGGTTTGAAAGTGAGAAAATTTTTTGAATTTTTTTTATTTTTATATACTAGTAATAATAATAGTTAGCTAGGTCTGTTCATTTGTGAAGAAGATTAAATTAACCTGATTTTATTGGCTACCACTCACAGGCTTTGCTGTGATAGTTTAACTACATATAATTCAAGAAAACAAGTGCCTGGACTTTAAACTTGTGCTTTATTCACAAGTAAATAAACAAAAACAATGGTTAGTACAATGTTCATTCATTAAGTGACTAATAAATGACATGACACCTTGACCTTTGTAAAACTTGAAAATAGTAAGTGCACAAGTTTATTGATTTCATCTTTAAAAATGAATCAAAATATGACAGCTACTAGTCTCAAATGGTTAAAAATGATTATAAGAACTAGCATTATGTATGTCTTTTATTTTTAGCATGTATAAACATTTAGATGGAAATAAACAAAAGATTTGTTGAAATTAAAATACTTAGGCTTATTTTTTTTAAACCTGCTTAAAAGTGGCATAATAAAAAAAAAGACATTGCATTTTGAACAATGAGAAAACATAGGTGTGTAACTTCATGCATAATTCTCTTGCTGTAATTTAATGAATTCTTGTAACACTAATTTCTACATTCCTTTTTGTACAAGAATTTCTAACATGTACATAATGTTAATCTATTTTGCTACATATATGTCCAGCACTTAATGTCTCATTTATATTCATTGACAGGTAAATAGACTATGTGTACTGGCGCCCATTAATTGACTCATGTGTTTTTTTTAAATATTGACAAGAAATGACTGATAGTTAAATCTTTAAATGAGAAAGAGATATATATTTTGACAGTTAAAAATGTTTCTTGTGGGCATATATAAATATTTTTGTTATTTTAAATAATGTTTGTAGGCTATGTTACAGTTTTCTAGAGATTGAAGTTATTTTTACTTCAGTTGATATTTTCACATTTTCTTTAACAATATTTAATGAAGAAAATGCAGTATGAACAGGGATTTTTTAAATTCAATAATCTTATTTAATGAGTAATGAGCAGGCTATTGAAGTATTAACAAGATTTTAAAATAGTTTTTGCACTAAAAAAAATGTGGAAAACATGTCTCAAAGCTCTGGAAAAAATAAAACTTGCAAGTGCTTGATTTCCAGACACTTTTCTTTTTAACATTCTTTTCTGTAATATTTGAAACTTAAATCTAATATCTGTATGTAAAAAAAAAAAAATAATTTAAAGTTGTCGTTTTTTAATTATCCACTTTCACTATGATCAAATTTCATATTTTCTGCTTCAAAGAAAGATTTATTTTTTTTAAATTTAGTAAAGTAGCATTCACTTAAACTTTGTTGCAGAAAGAAGAAAATGGTCATTTTAAAGTTTGTATTTGCAATACAATTCATAATAATTAATGAGTTCAATGATAGGAGACAGCCATACAAATTATATTGATAGGATTTGCTGCATCTTATCATTTTAATATTAATGTACTAAAAAATCTGTAAGAAAAAAAAAACAAGAATTATCTTTTGATGAGTTAACTATTACCTGCACACAAAAAAACCCATTGCTTTGCACCAGATATTTCTTCCTTTATTATAGCACAAGCACTCCATACTTAGTAAAAAAATCTTATCAATATAACAATGATTGGATAAAAGAAATCCCTAAATTTAATGGAAAGCAATTGTTGAATAATACTTACACCTTTTAGACTACATGAAATCTGTTTTTGGTTTTTAGCAGAGATAAAAATAGAGTATCAACAATGTGAATTCATGTGCTATTGGCCTATTATAATCATTATTAATTTTTACAAATATTAATTTGTTTCCTGCTCAATTTCTTTACAATAAGTAGTTAAATGATTTCGGGTTTTTAAAGTTGAATATTTTCTATCATCATTATCCTTAAATATATATATATAAAAATATATTGATTTATTTCCATTATCTAGAAGGGATTTTACTGTGTATTTCGTTTTCAGTTTTCCCTGCTTATTAAATGTTTTTATATTATTGAGTCTATATTTTAAAATTGTTTACTAATGTGTGCTGAAACTGTGCTTGTAAATAATATTATTGTCACTTGTGTGCCAGTGGATAAAGAGGTATGTGCTTTGTAAAATTATTTTGCAGTCTCATGTTTATTAAGATTGGTTTTCTTTTTATCAGATTCATCAAAGCTCACAGTTTTTTTGTTTTGAGGAAAGGGGTTTGCCTTACCTGTTAACTCCTGCAGCTTTTATGTCCTAAACATACTCATAAAAGGGATGAGGTTAAATTGTTACAAATGAAATTTTCCTGTAAGTTTTTTTAAGATGGCTTTAGTGATTGTGTAAACTTACTCGGCTGTAATTCATTATTGTAACATCAAATAACTTGCTTCAATGAATGCTCTCATGTTTTGATTTTTTTTTTTTTTTTTTTGAAAGAGCAAATATTTTGTGTTCATTTTTTTTAAATTTTTCAATTTAATACCACTCATAAGCATTAATTTTATTCTGTACTTCCTAAATTTTGTACTCCTACAATTTTATGTAGACCACATAGACAATATTCTGAATGGTAAAAGAAAGGGGTAAAACTACTAATGTTTAATTAAACCAATGTAATTTTTAATGAAATTCATAGCGGAAAGTATAAAGCAAACATCATGTTCATTAAGCTAGAATGATATTTTGCTGCTGACTGTGATTGTGTGATCAAGTAGCATGATATCATTAAAATAAATTGTATTAATCACAATCAATACCCTTTTTAAAAAAAAAATTATTTGAATTTCAGAAGTAAATAGCTAAATATTTCATTTAAAAATAAAAACCAATGCAACCTTTTAATTTTAAATTGCTGCATAAAATAGTTGATTTAGAAAGGATTTTTTACATTAATGTTAAATTGGCCAATTTCTATATATTCAAACAAAATATTACCAATCTACTTGCCTTCCTGAAAGGTTCCATGCTTCTTATATATATTCCGTTAGGTTAAATGGGTTGGCTATGAGGGCATGAGGTCTTTAACCACTTCATTACCGCATGGTTTTGGGCATCGATTTTTGCTGACTCAGCAACAAAAAAATCTTTTTTTTTTTTTTTTTTTTTTTTTTTTTTTTATTTTTATTTTTTTTTTTTTTTTTTTTAGGTTTTGGGCATCGATTTTTGCTGACTCAGCAACAAAAAAATCTTTTTTTTTTTTTTTTTTTTTTTTTTTTTTTTTAATTAATTTTTTTTTTTTTTTTTTTTTTTTTTCCTTTTTTTTTTTTTTTTTTTTTTT